AGAATTTGTTTTATATTTAAGATTTTGAGATGCCATTTTAGAATCACATTGTGCTATTTCCTGCTGCTTAAGTTACATACTTATACACCAACTACAGTTCAAAATGTTAAATCTCACTGACACTATTACTTTCCATTACTGATATTGTCATTAAATAATGTAAGAAGAAATTATTATTTAAAAATGTGTGCAAAAGGAAGTTTGGGGAGCAATGGCTTTGCAATAGATCTTGTAAATACTTCGTTCAGTGAATCAGTATTTCCCAATGCAAAAAACAAAACAAAACAAAACAAAACAAAAAAACAAACCCCCCAAAAAACCCCCACCTCAAAGTAATGAAGCTGCTTGAATCTATTGCTGTCTTTGGAGTAAATATGTCTCAGTCTGTCCTGTTTTTCCCTTGATGTCTTGGGATGCTCAGGTAATTCCCAGATGCAGCTCACTGTGCAGAGTCCGGAATGAGTGGATACCAGCCAGTTCCTCTGTCATCTCGCAGTGGGCTGACCCTGAGCCTGGCACCCACCAAAGTTACTCTATCACTCTCCTCCACTAGTGGACAGGGGACAGAAAATATGACAGGTTCCTAAGCTGAGATCAGGACTGTTCCTGTTCCTAAGCTGACCAGGAGCACTCACTCACCAAATACCATCACAAACAAAACAGGCTCCAGCTTCGGGAAATTAACTCAATTTATTACTTACAGAATCAGAGTAGGATACTGAGAAGTAAAATAAATCTTAAAAAACCTTCTCCCCCAACCCTCTTCCTTCCCAGGCTCTACCTACTCCCTGCAGTGGCACAGGGAGACAGAGAGTGAGAGTTCACAGTTCATCACAGGCTGTTTCTGCTGCTGCTCAGGGAGAGGAATCTTTCCCCTGTTCCAGTGAGAGTTTCCTTCCACAGGGGACAGTTCTTCATTAAATTCTCCAGTGTGAGTCCATCCCATGGGCTGCAGATCTTCATGAACTGCTCCAGTGTGGCTCCCTTTCCACAGGGTGCAGTCCTTCAGGAACAGGCTGCTCCTGTATGGATCCCCCATGGGGTCACAAGTCCTGCCACCAAAACTGCTCCAGGGTGGACCCTTCTCTCCAAGGGTCCCTGCCAGGAACCTGCTTCAGCACAGATTTCCCACACAGTCACAGACTCTTTTGGGCATCCACCTGCTCTGGCATGGGCTCCTCCATAGGCAGCAAGAACATCCCTACATCCCTGTGATCCTCCATGGACTTCAGGGGCATCCCTACATCCCTGTGATCCTCCATGGGCTGCAGTGGCATCTCTGCATCCCTGTGATCCTTCATGGGCTGCAGGGGAATCTCTGCTACAGCACCTGGATCATCTCCTGCCCCTCCTTCCTCACTGACCTGGGAGTCTGCAGGGCTGTTCCTCTCACACATCCTCACTCCAGCCTTCTCTGGCCACAATTACATCTGCAAGGCAACTTTCTCATTTTCCTTTTTAAACATGTTATTACAGAGGTGTTATTGTGATTCCTGACTGGCTCAGCTTTGACCAGAGTCCATCTTGGAGCTGGCTGCCATTGGCACTGTAGGACACTGTAGGACATGGAGGAAGTTTCTGACACCTTCTCACAGAAGCCACCTCTGTAGCTCCCCTGCTACCAGAACCTGCCCATGCAAACCCACCACACACCTATAGAATGTACCTGCTCGATTTTATCTTCTGATTGTAATTCTCAGTCCAATCCTGAAATGGACAATGATACGAAAAGTTCACAGCTGGGAATCCATCTCAGTCCATTTTTCCTAGCTTCCAGACCAAAGCAAACCTCTCCCATCAGAGGGCCAAATCCTGCCAGTAAGTAACCCAGTCATTACGGCTGGACCCTGCTCAAGTTCCCTGTGAGGATCACACTGCTCTGGACTCCTGACACTGGAAGAACACAATGTGTGCACACCAAGTGCTGACAGCATCAGGCTCACATCTCCTCGGTTTGGCTAAAAGATGTGCAAGCAGAATTTTAGGGTTGCTTAAAAAGCAGATGAGAAAACCTTTCCCATCCACACAGCATTGTCTCATTTCTCCAGGGAATGTCTCCTGTGTTGTGTACAGAAGTACCTTTCCATTATGTTCCAATATTTTAAAACCACCAACAGAAAAATATTTACCTGAGAGACCTTTTTTTCTCCTGTTCCTTAATATCATCACCAGAAATTGATGAAAAGCTTTCTACACTGCAGCAAGATCTTCTGTTTATTGGCATTACTAACCATGATCATTTCTACATGTCCCTTCATTGGGAGAGGGTGCTCCTCTGTGAGGCCTGACATTAACATTTGTTGCTGCCACCAAAATGGTCACTTATCAGTAAAAACACAGGCAAACAACTGGTTTAAGTAGCAATTATTTTAACCAGTTTCTTCCACCCTAAAATATAACAAACCCTGCACCTAGAGAACAGAATAGATGCTCTGCATCTTTTCTTCTGTTGCCCTGTGTTTATTGTTAAAAAAAAATTCCTACACATTAATTTTGGAGTAGGTTTGTATTATAGATATTCTCCTTGGTATCTTACAGCTTTTTTTATCAGGTGACAGAAGAGACATCTCCTGATCTCCTCCAGAGTGAACCTGCAAGCAGATTAGGTGAAGAAGACATCTGAGAACTGCTGGCTCTAAAAGCATCAGACTTCACTTCTGCTCCAAAATAACAAGCTCACTGAGAGTAGACACAGACTTGAGAATCTCTGAACTGGGGTCAGTCTTCCATGAGAAGAAAAAATCCTATGCAGGGCTACCAGCTGTAATGGGAAAAATAATACTCCTCCATGCCCATTAAATCCACATTTCACTGCAGCTTTCTAGGAACTGAAGAAAAGTCAGTGCCAACAAGCAAGTATTTCCTTTTGGGTCCCTTAACATAGGTATCTTCTCATGCTGAACATCAGTTCAATCCTGGTCCCAGAAGGCTGCTGACATTATCCCCAGCTTGCACTGAAGAAATTACTGCACTGGAAAACTCAGGCTTTCCATGCTCACACTTGCTCTTAAATGAAAATTAGCTCAGTTATAGTCCAAAGGAGCCCTTTAATGGCCAGCATATGCTTTGGCATCCTGCCAGCAGAGCCCTCTTAAAGCCATCCAGCAAAGTGACACCATCAGTTACAAAATCTATGTGTGTCAGGTCACTGGATTATGAAACAGAAGTGTTCTAAGCATGTAAGGACATGGCTTAAGCTCTGCTGGGAACAAAGATAAAATTATTTTTCTGGAATCAGATTACTATCTTGGAAGGCGTTCCAGTAGGAAAGGGTCACTGCACTTAACAGCATTTACACTGGGAAATATGAGTTCAGAATTGTTAAAAACCAGTAAAGATGCTAATGCATAGGGTGCTTCTATGACACAGCAGCTAGCACGATGGCGAGGTACTGCATGCTTGGATGGAAAAATCCATCTTAGACTGCACTGTACTGGACTACAGTAAAAATCAGAAGTCACTCTTTCCACAGGAAATGACAGCAACACAAAATGCAAACCATGATAACAAGCAATATGACTCTCCCACACATTACTTCCTAGTAACACTGAAGAACACACACATTTGTAGCATACTTCAAAAAAGTCAGCTCCATTGCAGAGGTATCATGAACAATGAGTGTGTATCCCTCTGAGCCAGTCCTGGCTCTCAAATCAGCTGAGGGCTAGGAGAGTGACAGAAGGTGAAAACTATAGTGAAGTCAAAAAGGAAAGGGGAAAAAAATATGAGAAAATAAAGTCAATGCAGGCAAAGTATCATTACATTTGACTGATTCAAAAAATGCCACCTGTATGAGTATTTTTAAAATACACTCCATGGCAGAGAGAAAGACAAACTCTCAGACAAGTGATACAGCTGTCAAACCTTAAACCATGCAGACATATGCGGGAAAAAAAAGTGGCCAATATCAATAAACATCTTGATCTAAACTGAGAAGGACTGCTAGAGTTATTTCTGGTTTACAGTTACATTTCTGTAGCAGTCAGTTACCCTGACTGTGGTGGCAACCACCGTGTGAGATGAAGAGCCAAGGCAAAGTAAAGCCATACTAAACAATAAAGCATGAAGGAGGAAAATTAAAAAGGTCACACCAATATAAAAAAGGAAATATGCAAAACTACACAGATAAATGCAAACTAATAAACTAATAAAGTTTCTGCATTGCAGTGCAAGAGATTACAGAGAAATCCATCCTTCCCAAGCCACTTTCTGCTTTCTCCACTTCTCCTTATCCTTCTCGGCAAAGGAAAATGCAACTTTTGTTTATGTCTATTTGTAAATGCTGAGAATCAAAGGCATTACACACAGCTTCTGAGCACTGCAGAAAAACCAAAAGGCCATTATGTGGATGGAGAATCAGTCTGTATCAGTCACTTGACTGTTCCCTTTTTTTATTAGCAGCTGTTAGAGAAGGGATCAGGGAGTGTGCTGGTGCAGTGCAGCTGTTCCACATATGTTATAAATAAGGGCTGGTAGAACCTCATCCTATTTTTAACATCAGGAAAAAAAACAAGTCACAAAAACTCCCCATTAATGCCTTCTAAGCGGAACTTTTCTCTTCTTCTTGACTTTAATGTCCAGAACTCAATACTCAAACCAGATCATTCTTAAAATAATATTCATTAAAAAAGGGAAAGAAAATGCAATTTAGTGGAATCAGATTTAGCCAGCCTGGAGGATGTAACCAATTAGTGTGTGCAGTGTCTTTTCCTTCAAAAGCAGACACTTAATCAGGATGGAAACAACCCCCTGAGATTCTGTTTCCAACAAAAGTGCAGGATTCCTGCATCCAAGTTTCTCTAGCATAACCCAAAAGCTGAGCCATACCTCACGTGGCTCAGACAGCAGCACCCACCCATCCCAAAGCAGCGATCACTTCTCTTGCTGGGCTGCTGCGTGTGGCCAGAGCCCCGCTCCTGCTCACCAGCTCCAGCACGGACAACATCAACAACCACTCGACGTGGAAGTGAAATCCCAAGGCCAGGCAAATCCCCATTCACCTGTTCTCGGGGTCTGACACCGTCATGTTGCGGGTCACGTAGCACATCTTGAGGGGAATTGTCTTCCTGTCTCTGTGGATGGAGAGCGAAAGCTGCGACATCGGGTCAGCAGAGGCACAGCCCAGGCGTGGAGATTCGGGGGGAGGCGTCTCCCACCCGATCTCTGACACGGGGGAGCCTTTCTTCACATAGGGGGTTGCTTCTCTCATGTATTTCACTATGGAAGAGAGAAAAAGAGATGGAAAACAATAAATAGATGAATATTCAGGAGTTGCATACCCATGTAAGCTCTCGGGACTGGTGTTAACCCTCAGTGCTGTCCATTATTTCTGCTCACCAAGCATCCCAGCATGGGATGCTGTGCAAATACAGCAGATGGAGATGTGCCTGCTGCCACTACTCAGTATGAATAAAAGGAGGGAAAATAACAGAGTAGGCAAAGTAAGAATATACAGCCATACAATGAAAGGGATGGAACCATCCCACCTTTCTGTGACAGTGGGTAAGCAGTCATGCAACAATTGCTTCATGCAGAAGCCATGAGCTGTCTGAGGTACAGGGATGTTTTAAAAGAAGACATTCAACCAAGTGACAGTAAACCTATTATTACCCTATCTAAAATGTTCCAGCAATACTTCCATGATTCCAACTCATATCTTTCTTCTAGTTCACACTTGTCAGCGTCCCACCACTAATCTCAACAACTATTTCTGCTTGCTGGGAAGCAGTTTTAGCTAATCTACTTGTACATATACATATGGAATAAACAAAAAACAATTCACTTCTTAGCCTTCTCTTGGGAAAATAAAATGGAGTTTGAGCCTTTTGTGTCAGATTAGATCTCAGTCTCTTCCGGGCTTTTTTCCAGAATGGATAAGAAAAATGAATGTAGGATTCTGAAATTATCTTACTGTATTAAAACCGAACACCTCTTTTACATGTACAATTCACATTCCTCTCTTTATGCAGGCAAATAGTGCAACATTTTTCTCTTGTCTTTTAATTCTTTGGTAGTTTAAGCTCACTTTTGCTTTTGCTATTCATGTGCTTCACAAATCTGCCAGTCACAATCTCCTTCCCCTTCACAAAGCTGATGGAGCTCAGACAAGACCAGTGTCCCACTTAAGTGCCCTGGTCAAGCCAATATTCCCCCTGCACTCAGCTGTGGTGCATCACTGGCTGCTGCCCCTTGATTGTACCCAGAACTCAAACAGCAGTGACAGGACCTGAAAGGACCTGGGCATTGTGAATTTATTTGGAGAATTTATTAAAATGCTGTGAGAGACCATTTCAAGGAAATGGCGCAGATCGTCGTGTCAGCTCAGCTGAAGAAACTGGGAATGACTAAATAACAAAAGGGCGGGTAAATTATAAAAGGGCATTGTGGTGAAGGATCTTAAATTAGGGAAAGCCAATTGAAGTTTTTGAGTTCAAAATGAAAGCAAGAGAAGTATTCAGAAGAGTGGAGAAGAACAACAGTGTTCCTGTCAAAACCACAGGTTAGGTGATCAGCTTCAGCAGCACTATTTTCAAGGCACTTCATAAAAATATTACCAAGAGAGAAACCAGTACAAATCTGGAGTCCAGGCTCTGTGAGCACTGATTGCTACTTTTTCTCTAAAACACCTTAGTGCCCATCTTGACATTGCTCATTTTATACTTTTTAAAAAAAAATCCATTAACTTTAATCACAAAGACTTCTGTGTTTAGGTATATTATGGGATATTCCTTTTTGGGAAAGACCATTTTTGATTTATCAGAAAGGCTGATATGTCCACTCAACACTGATGTTTTCATTTCCTTGTCCAATCCTATTCTGAGTTATTTTCTTAAATTAATTTGTTCCCTTCTCAGGAATGAGTTGGCACAGAGTTCTGCCAGGCTTCCAGAAACTATTTCAGGCAAAACAAGGTGAGATTGATTTTTTAAAAACTTTTTTAGATATCTACCTAAAGTCCACTATCTAAAAACCTGTGTCACCTAACTCCCAAACCAGTGCTCATTCTTGGGTACTCCACAAATTACATGATTTTCAAAGGTGCTGAAAATAAGCAGCTGTTGCCAGTGTCATAGAGATAGCGGTTTCAGCAGTTGCCATCTCAATTTGGATGTACTCATAACCTTAGGGAAGCCAAGGAACAGAACAGTTACAGATGTGGTGAATCTATTCCTGTTAACACTGAATGAACACCACTTTGTCATTAATTTACATGGCAGAACAGTTGAAGCTGTGAAAACCACGTTCAACTTCAAACAAAATTTTGTTACCTTCAAAATTAGAGATTAATGATTGATCTGTTGAAAAAGTAATCCAGTCAGTTTTTGAACCCTGGTGCAGTGACATGCCAGCAAATGTGATTCCAAATAAAGATCCAGTTCTCAACAGTGTAGCTATTTCATCTGTGCTATTTTTGTCTTTTTTCAGTTGCAGCTATATCCATTCAACCTTAGCATATTTTAATTAAGAAAAGAAGAGAGGGGCAAGGGGAGGAAGGAAGCTGAAGTAGAAAAATTGGCTGAAAACCTAAGCAGGTTTCACAAAATGTGAATTTAATTCCCCAGAGATGGGACAGAAGAAAAGAGGCAGCCCTTCCATGAGCCAAAAGCCAAGTTTCCATGCGATGTACCGGTGAATTCATGGCAGACAGCTGCAGTGTTTCACAAAATCCCATGAAAAAGGAAGGAGGAGTAGGGGGAGAGCAGAAACACAATCCTCTTTCCAGAAACTGAGTCTTAAACACAGCAAAAGCCAGGAACACTACCTTGAGGAAGTACATCCTATGAAAATTCCTTCCAACTCCTGAACTCACAGACATCTATCTAGTTGCTGCTACATCTCAACAGAAGATGGTTGCTCAGCCCCGGGGATATGAATAAAGAGCGATTAATGCACTGATAAACTGCTAACACCATCTTCATATGAAATCCCACAGTAGAATGAAAAAATGAAGTAAACATGCTTTCTCTTAAAAAAAAAACCACAAAAACCCAACAATTTTCTAGCTTTTGCTAATAACATCCCACTTCCTAGTAAACACAAGCACAGCTCTCTGGATTCATGGTTGAATTCTGCTGGGTTTTACAGCCCAGACTTTATCGCTGTTGCATATTCAGGTGTGTTTCATATTTTAAAAGTCCCCAAATGGACACATATAAAAGCACAAATATAATATGGGAGTGGAACAGGTGTAAGAACTTGATTCATTTATGTATTTTTTTTGTTATTATTTAAACTTCAGAGCCATTGCTTTCCATTTCCTTCCTCAACATCTGTAATTACATGTCCATAACCAAAGCCCAGTTTACGAATTTAGCTGAAATCAGGCACACACTGTTCAGATGACTCATAAGTTTTATCAGCAATTATTTCCTATTTACCTCTAAATTCTGGGTGCAAATACTGCACCAAAAAATTGCTGGTTTATAACAATGCACCAGCAACCCTAGTACATACAGAGAAATTTAGGATGACCCCAAATGTTTACATTTTGCAGCCTGTTCACTAAGCAGTTCTTAATCCACATAGCAGAAAATAAGTTGATACCAGTATCTATTATATGTATACATTATATGTGTCATATTCCTATTTCACACTGCACGATCTGAGAATCATGGATACAGCAAAGTTAAACGGAAGTTATACAATACACTTCATCATCAAGTTTTAAAAACAGCAAAAAAGATGATACAGTCTATTGGACATTAAAGTAATAATGTGGATAATATTCTGCTTTCAGAGCATTACACTCAAGAGCTGGATTTCCTTTTTGACACAGTAGCACAAATTCAGGTACCAACTGAAAAAGAAAGCAATTATCAAAAACACTGGTTTTATATATTGCCAAGGAAACTACCTATTGAATTAAAACCTCAAAACATTTAATGAAAATAAATAAAGCATGCCGTTGTATAACAACTCTGAATTATGAATAACTATTTTATAGGCATGTATACACATATATATACCTTCAGAATATATACCTATGTCTAACATCTACGCAAATATTGAATATATATTTATATTAAAATGCAACAATCTTTATAACCACCTGAACACTGCAATCACAGAAAACAACATTCAGGGACTCAAAAAAAATTCTAATAGTTTCATTATTATAACTCAATTTACTTATAAATTTAGTCAGGAATTGTCTAAACTCATTTGTTTGTTGCTATAGCTTAACTTCAGAGATCCTTATATCCAGTACTAATTAATGATCCATACCCTTTTGCTGCACCAATAATAAGAAACTGCGGTCAAGCAATTAAAATTCCAATCTCCGGAGCGTCCCTCCCCACAAAGAGAAGAGGAAGGGAAGTGGCAATCAAATGAATTAATCCACTGATGCACATTGAAATATTTTGGATTTATTTTTTGATCTGCAAGACAGGCAATGTAGCTTCCAAAAAAGCACTTCATTTATAAGCACTTCTGCCAAGTCCCAAGACTCCACAATTAATCCTTTGTTTCTGTTCACAGATGACTTTTTTAGAGGGGGAAGGAGCAGGCTTTTAATGAGAGAAATACTACAGACCAACTTGGTCAGGTTCTTGGCCAGACGCCTTTCTGAGGAACTGGGACTCTTCTGACACATTCAAACTGTTTCCTAGGAGGGAAGACAAAGACCACTAAGGGGAAGCCAGCAAGGGGAGGAAAGATCTTTTGTTACTACAGGAACGAGAACAGGATGTGTAGGTTTTCAGTACGGAAGTAAAAGGAACAACATACCTGAATCTGCTTGAAGACACTTGATCAAGGAATTCCCCTTTGCAGGAGAAAAGCACTGAGTGTCCTCTACCATAATACCACAATTTGCCTGCTTGGCTTTATGTGAGAGATCAAATTTCCTCTAAACTCAAGCCAAGTGCATGCCTTACAGTCAAGCACTGTATAAAAATGAGATGAGCTGCTGGTGCCATCATCAAAACTAAGACCCAAAGGAAAGAATTTATGAGTCAGACCATCTATGAAGACGTGTCACATGATCCTTTCAGCAGCTTTAATGTGGGCATAAACCAAAAAAACAGTCAACGATCCTGCTTGTCTGTTTCCACTACATTTCCTACAGAAACATCTGCTACTACTTTCGGACAAGTATTATCTGTTAACATCATCTGCCTTCCCCCTTGCTGAAATGGATCTGAAATAGTAAACCTCTTGATCTGCCAAAAGCATCATATTTCCACCTCTGGGAGATGATAAAACTTAGTTAAAATGAACACCTTGTGATAATAAAAATCCCCTTTATGCTTTGGCCATTTCTCACACTGTAGTAAGACTATGCTCAGTTTCCCATTTTCTGCTGTTTTTAAAGTAATTCCACTGAATTACTTTTATTTCAGTGTACTGTCTATTCATCTCTGAGAGAGACAGGCTTGGATTTAAATCACAAGGGGCTGTTTTTAAATCCTTTTTAAAATACACTGCAGTTATTATACTTTTTATATGGAATACAAGGATGAATCTTTCAAAAGAATAACTTCAGAAAGATCTAGAAGAGAAACACATCTTTAAGATAAAGTTTACCTGAAAAAAGCATCTTAGCAATTGGTCCCAAAAGGTGGCTAGTAAGCAATCATGCTTCAAGTTTGAGTTTCCAGTAGGGACAAATAGGCTGGATTAAAAAAATTAACAACTGCATTTTAAAAATATAAAGATTACTTCATAGTATCCTTTTAAATTTGCAGCTGCTTTTATAGGAAAGGTAAAGCTATGTTAAGGAGGGCTGTAAGCACCATCACACATTTGCATTCAACAAATGAAGGCAGTACCTTCAAAGTATCTTGCAATAAGCAATTTAATGTTGTTAAGAGAACTTCTTTGTCAACAAGGCAAGAAGACTTGCAGTCCTGGCCCCATCAAACACGAGAAAATGGGACTAAATAGGTTAGTCTCAGGAAGCCATGCAAGGTTTGTGAGGTTTCAAGTTTGTGAAACCTCATTGTTTTGATACCTTGAATAGGTCACAGTGATTAGCCACACTGTGTTATCTACATAGGCTTCAAAAAACATACCTCACCACCAAAAATGTCTTAGAAGTTAAGAAATGGCAGGGGAAAGCTTGTAGAAGTCTTGGCTGGAGCAGTGGGCAGCCCCTGTGGAGGCTTCCTCCTTCCCATCTGCACCAGGGGCCTCCACTCTGATTCCAGCTCTTGTGAAATTCACACATCCAATGGAGATTACACTCATGGCCCATCCCATGCTTCTGTATAACACCAAAAATTCTTCTGTTACTTATCCTCAGTTTCTTTTCCTGAGACTTTGCCTGTGATGTGGGCTGATTCAGCCACTGATTCCCTAGGCTGATGTTTCCTCTTTAGCAAACACTTCAACTGTTTCTGAGTTTCCTCAGCAAAAATGTTTTCTACAGAGGAAAAGCTTTATATGTCTTCTTATCATATGCAGCATATCAATTTTGTCAACTGTAAACCCTGTAAATATTAATTCATTTTCATTCCTCCACAGAGCTGTGGTTCTGTACTGCACACAGAGCAGCATGAAGCACACAGCTCAGACCCCACCAGCCTGTACCAGACAGCCTGAAATCTTCACCTCCAGTCAGCACTGCCCACCCACTTCTCTCTGAGATCACTTGGAGCTGGTCACTGCTAACCTTCCCCCTTCAGCTCCTTTGTGAGATGCATTTCCATGGCCTAATAATAAAGTTCAAGTTTAAAGTTAACAGCAGCCATGCTAAAGGAAGCAGGAGAAATTTCAGTGCTGGGGTGAGAGTCTTCTGTGTTTCTGTTCAAAACAGATTAACAGAGGGTAATCAGACAAACTTTGTCACACAGAATCACAATGGAACTGGAGGCTGGAATATGTGACACCAGTACTTAAGCTGATGAAGTGATTAAAAACAGTCACAGGTTGTCAGTAACCTGGTACACAAAAATTTCAAACTGGTAAAGTAGTAATAATAATAATAATAATAATAATAATAAACTAAAGGCAGACTGTTTCCATTGGGTGTTTCTCAATACTTTCCATTACTCATACCTACTATGCTGAATTTGCTACAGTCTCCTTCAAGTAATTTAGTTTATTTTAAATTTCAAAGTTTCTGTTTCAATCAATTGGATGTATTCAGTTCAGTTTTGATATGTCACTAACAATAATTGCATGAATTCAAGGTCCCATAAGCTATTAATCTATATTTCAAAAACTTTACCTACTGCAGCAAAATAAATGCATGCATATTTCTCTCTTCATAATCTGAAAAACAAATTTTAGCTTGTAAATCCCAGAAGTACAATATTTGGTTAAAAAGAAGATGCTTATAGCTTGATCTAGGGGACACTGATGCTATCTTGAAGAGCTTGTACTCCAAAGAAACAGGACCCAGTGGAGAACATGGAGCAGCTACATTGCACAAGTGCCTCTCATCAAATAACTACAAATTGAAAAAACTACTGCCAAAACCTGAAGGCTGTAGCTGTCTAACCTACTACATTTTTTAAGTAAAATGTGACACAGCTCATTTGCTACATTGTTATGTGACACTGAACTCTGCAATTAGAACTACGCAGATCTTTCATAATGGAAGTAGAAAATATCTGAAACCAGCAATTTGGGAGCTGAACATGGAAATTAGCAGTCACATTTTGAGAAAAAGCATTGTGGGACCTGTGAGTCACTGATAACCAAACTGGAGCTCCTGCTTGTCCCCCAAGGTAGAATGTTTCCTAAATTTAAAAAAAAAAAAAAAAAAAAAAAAAAAAAAAAAAAAAAAAAAGAAGTGGTTTAGTCAAATGGTATTAGGAGTAGGTACTCCTGCCCTAAAGTACAACAGAAAAATGTAACTCCATGTAAAGCAGAGAAATGGAGAAAAATACATTTCTTCAATGGAACTGCAGCACTCAGATTTCAAAGGGCCTTCTCCTACCCCAAATTGACACTATGTTTTAAAATCTTTTAAATCTCAGGAATAAGTTGATTCAGAATTTCTTGTGTGCTTCTCATGCTTGTTTCTCTGCCAGTATTTATAGATCCCTCTCCCATCACCCACACACTCAGATGGAATTCAAGGTGTCTGGCATTGCCAGCATGCTATAATTTTTCTATTTACATGAGTAATCTCAAGTGTCAGAACAAATATTTCAACTGCTAGTGATCATGTGAAAAATACATAAGGGTATTACAGTTTTAGAGGATGCTGTTATTTCAGCAGGCACACAAATCATTAAATAGTACAGGGTAGACTGAAAATGGCACTCACTGAGAGGGAAATTATTATGCTGTGTATGATTGTACCTGTTTTACAGATGGCTAAACTGACACAGGCAAGTTAAACTGCCTTCCTCAAAGTCATGCAGTAAGTCACTGACAGAGCTCTCAGCATTACACTCAATTTCTACCTATGTTACTTTTCCTGTTTAAACAACTCAAAAAGGTCCTAGTGCCAGAGAAAACTGGATTCACAGTGTCTATTGTTTTCTCCCTATGAGAAGACCTTTGAAGACCTTGCAAGATCTCCAGGATTTATTTTGAAGAGCAGAGTTGAAATCTCTGAAAGTTTCAGTTCACCCTTTTCATTCTTCACTGGACAACACAAAGAGCTTTGAAAATGAACAAACTCAGGGCACACATTCAGCTAAGAACTTGCTGTAACTCCTGTGGCTGGGCTGTGCATGAAAAGGCACCAAAGAAGTCCTTGTTTTGGGGAATCCTTTAGCTTGCAACCTTACCAATGGCCACATCCAGAGTCCTCAGGTAAGAGAGATTAATGAATACTTATCCACATGGGGAAGGGAGGAAGGGAGGGAGAATACAAACGCTAAGTTCAATGGCAAACACAAATCCTAAACTGATTAGGGAAACTGGGATGGATGTTTCTGACATGGGCATAATGTAGTAACTCTGTTTTCACACAGATCAAGAGCACCTTTGCCTGGTTCTGAAGTCCAAGCACAGCCTCACTCTGCCTCCACTCTACCTAAAGTCATTTGCAAGATTAACCAAGCAGACCTGGAAGTAGATTTGGCTGTACACCTATTTCCTGGCTCATCTACAGGCTAGAAGAAAACCACCTGAAGCTGACAGATTGCTCACTGAGGCACTGGGAGGGAGAGAAGAGCCCGCATGACACCACCCCTTGTATTTCGAGGGGTAAAGGAAACAGGACTGTATATGCAGGAAGGGTAATGAAAACAGTTGGACAATGAAACATTAAACCACATCCTTGTCCCTCAGTTCTTTAGTTCCAAATTGAATGGAGCTCTTTTCTACCATGGATTATGGATTTCTCTAGGAATAAGCCACTGAAATCCTATCAACAAACTACAACAATCAACAATTAAAGAATAAGAACAGTAGTCATTAGCATCGGCTAAAAGGTTTTCAGAAACCACCTGCACTTTGAGCAAGCATGGGAAATTCTCAGAACTTACTCAGAAAGAGACTGAGACTGAAATGCAACTGTGCTGCCATAGGACCATGGATGGAATTGTGTACTGCTCTTTGCATCTCAAAGTCTCTTACCAAGATGACAGCTCTTCTGTTCTCATCCCAGAGCAGCTGTAGTTACTGTATCTTAAAAAAATGCCAGTGATCCATGATGGAATATGGTCCTCCTGGAACTTCAGTGCATAATGCAATTTGGGGTGAGAAATACTTGGGAGGAGGGGAAAGTTCATTACTTTTAAATAGCCTCATCTAAAACTATTCTACAGACAGGATCTCAAAAACGAATTAGTGAACACAGTGAACAAGGGAAGCAATGAAAATCCTCACAAAAATACTTATTTTAGATTTTTTTTTTTTTCCATGAAATGGTTTTGTGAAGTGCTTTAAAAAAGACAT